TTTGAGGTTGCTGTGAGCGAGGATGACGCCACGGCACTCTAGCCTGGGCAACACAGTGAGATTCTGTCTCAAAAAAAAAGAAACTATAAACTAGGCAAAAGCTGGAATTGGAAATCCCACAGCCAGGGAGTGTGTGGGTGTGAAATTGAAACTGGGTCCACCTGAGTCCAGTGGTCCCCAGGGGGACCCTGCATTCAACATGAAAGAGCCTTAATCCCCAGCCAGCTTATGACCCACCCCTCTGTGCAAGTTCCCTCGCTTTAGAAAACTCTAGCACATGGTGGATGAAGGAGGGTTCAAGTCACCTCCTTGCTGTGTGGCTTCACCTCTCTAGGCCTCAGTTTCCAGCCCTGGAAACCATAACTGTGTTTATTGTCAGGATTAAAAGAGATAATGGATGAAAAATCCCTAACCTAAGGATCTATAACTTGCCACACACTCCACACGTGGGAGCCGATAGTCAAAACAGGAGGGAAAGAGCTTCCCATCACTGGAGGTAATCAAGCACAGTGACACCAGTTTACATAAACCTTCCAGACTAGACTTGCCCTTGCTTCCCTTCACCCTACCCCTCCCCCAAGACTTACCCCGTAGCCTCCTTATACCAAAAAACTTGTGACACACATACACAGCCTTCCCAAACTACGAATCTTTGAAGCAGCCCTAGGTAGAGAACCAGATCTAGGGTCTGTGGGTCTCTTACGGACTCACTCTAGTCCCTCTTCCCTGGTGGGCCTCAGTTTCCCGTAAGTGAACAGAAGGTAAAGTCTCCTATTTGGGTTTCTTTTTGCTTACGTCAATTACCTTAAGTGTTTTTTACAGTGAAAAGCATGTTACTTGTCATTTTTTTTTTAAATACAGGTTTTATGTTCGTTTTCTTTAATAGCATAATAGTTTGGACACAGGCCAAGTTCAAATTCAAGCTTGGCCACTTCCAAAATGTTTGACTTTGGCCTTTTGGTAACGACAAGAGGCCCGTTGCAGTTCTTTGGCAGTTCTGTACCTTGCTCTTGCTCTGTAAACCTCTATCTTGATCTTGCTCTGTAAACCTATCTTGTCTTTCCTCGATAAACTTTGTTTCACCAAAGGAAAAAACCAAGTTTGACTGCCATAGGCAATTTGCTTGACTTCTCTTGTGCCTCAGTTTTCCCATCTGTAGAGTGGGTTAGGGGGCAAGAGACTGTAATAGTATCATTGTTACCATGGTTGTGAGGATTAAATTGAATCAGGCACCTAATACAGTGCCTGGCACAAAGTAGATGCTTGATCAAATGGTCTCATCATTTTTTCAAAAATGAAATAAGAACAGTAATAACCACTATTGGAAGAGGAAAGAAATGGACCCAGATTCTTCCCAAGTCCCTTCTGCCCTGAGGTTCTCAGACCTCTGCCCCGCTTCCCCACCTTCCCAGAATCCCAGCTCTGAGTCCCGGACTCAGCACTCAATAAATATTTGTCAAACTGGGGGAAAAAGAGCTATATCTTGTAATTTTCCATCTTAACATCCTCTCTTCCAATGTCCCCAGGGCTGTCCCCAGCCAAACCAGTCAGAAATTAGCTGCTCCCAGCCTCCCTCCCCCGCCCCCAGCATAGCCTAAGAATTTCTGAGGGATACTGCCCAGACCTTTCTGTCTTTGAGCCTCAGTTTCCTCAGCTTGGAATAGGGGCGTGGGGCGTTTTGAATCCTAGCTGTCCCTGGAGAAGGGACAGAGCCCAGGAAGTCGGGTGTGACCCCGGCCCTGGGAGACCCCTGAGAGGGTGGGAGTAAGCCTCTGGGAGGACAGGGATCTGTTCCACTTCTGCCCACCCCCCAGGACGCGGGAGGGTTGGCCAGGCCGCAGCAGGAGGGGGGCCCTGTGGGAGGGCCAGGGCCTCCAGCGCCGGCGGTGGTGGGGAAGGCAGGAGGCCGGCCCAGACACTGCTCCTGCCCTTTTACGGTCTCACAGTGAGTGAGGCAGCACTAACTCGGACATCCGCCATCCGCCTTCCCCGGTGCCTGGGACCGGAAACGCGGGGGGTGGGGGTGAGGGGCGGGGCTGGGGGCAGCGGGAGAGAAGAGTCCCCGAGGAAGAGGGTGAAGAGCCTCGCTCCCGCAAACTGCCCCCTCTCCAGCGCAGACCTTGAAGGGATGTTGCTATAATGGGGAAAGGACAGGCAGGAAGTCTTGGGGTGTCTGTGGGTGTCCCCTTGCTCCAAATTTTCCAACAACTGCTTTCACATCGGAAGGGACAAACACGGAAGGAGGGTTCTCTAATGGCCATAAAAAGGAATGCCACCCAGATGTCAGAGGGCAAGGGTGTGGGAAACGTGGAGGAAGTTGGAGGATGTGGACATCAAGGGGTTAATCCCCAGTCATCCCCAGGGGCCTCCCCCTCAGCCTGGGGGCTTTGGGGCAGGAAGTCCCAGCGAGAGTGGAGGAAAGGAGATAGTATTGTCAGGCTCTGGCCCCCAGGGAGAGATTACGGGGGCCAAGGGAGGGGAGAATGGAGGGGGCTTAGTTGGGTCCCCCAGCCTGCACCGGCCCCGCCCTCAGGTGAGCCCAGGAGTTCGGAGAGGCCGGGCGAGACATAATCCCTGGGTCCCTTGGGTCCCTCCACCCCCAGGATTAAATTCCTGGGAAGATAGCTGGAACTATCTGGGAAGCCTGGGTCTCTGGGGAAGAGGGCCGTGACCTTGAAGCTTTCCAGCGCCCCTTCTCCAACCCCAGGGCTCTGGATGGCTGGGGGGGGATGGTGGGCAAAGCGGGAGGGGCAGTGGTGGGGAAAGCAGCCTGCCCAGAGCTCCTAGCCCGCCCCCCCACACACGCCAGCTGTCTCGACAGGTGAGTCAGGAAGACAAAGGCCCCCCTTCTCCCAGCTGCCGCGCCCCCTCCCTCCCCAGGGCCGCACAGGTGGGGGAGAGAGGCCACCCTTCTGGCCCAGGGCCTGGGCGCCGCCCTCGGCACTGAGCGCTCGCGAGCTCCTAGGCATGGCCCGTTTTAAGCAGATTGTGTGTGTGTAGCGACGGGGGAGGGGAGTCCCAACCAGACCCTGGACGCCGAGTCTGGGTCCGAGGGTCGGTTCACACCAACCTCCTCCCCAGGAGGATCTAAGTGCCCCCCAAAATTTAGAGGGTTAAGTACCCCCGAAGTTAAGGAGGGCAGTCCCACCTGGGGAGACTTTTTCCAGCGCCACGTAAACGGGGACCCTGCAAACAGGGTCTGCGTCCCAGTCTCCCTTCTAGGTCCCAGGCTCTCCCAAACTGGCACCCCACCATCCCTCCTGGACCTCAAGTTGAAGTTTAGGGGGAGTCCGAGCCCTTCCTAAATCCTGGCATCCCTGCGGCGAGTACCTACCAACTTGAAGGTCCTCAGAAAAAGTCTTTAAAATTCGGGAGTCCTCGGAGCGCGCCCCAAATCTGAGAGCTCCCAGGAGAGCCTTACCGGCACCACCCTGAGCCTTGGGAGTAGTGGGGAGGTGGTCGATATCTGGAGCCCGTCCAAGGAGACTCAACCCAAATCTGAGGGTCCCAGCTGCCTGTCCCCAAATTCCAGCCGGGAGCGAGCTGGGGGGGAGGGGGACAAAGGCGGGGCGGGGAGCCCGCGCCGGGCGGGGAAGGGTCGGGAAGCCGCGCGGGGGCTCACCTCATGGCTGCTCGGCGGGCGGGCGGCGCGCCCACGGGGTGAGTGCTCCCGGGGCGCCCCTGGCTCGAGGTTCAGGGGTACGGGGCTGGCTCCAGGTTCTGCTCAGTCTCCCCCAGGGTCCCGCCCCATAGAGTCCGGCTTCCTGGAGGGGAACGTGAACCCGGCCGGGACAGGTCCTGCGGCGCCTCCTCCCGCTGGTGCTTTGATGGGGGGACCCCTGCGGCAGAAAGGGGGTGCGGCGTCCCCTACCCGGCGCGCCCCCTCGGCCGGCGGCGGCTACAATGTTACTCTTACTACTGTACTTCTCTTCGCTACATTTCGTTCCAAAATTCCACTCCCCGCACCCACAATGCCCCGCGCCTTAAAGGGGCCGCGAACACCTCCAGGCGGGGGATGGAGGGCGCTTAAAAGGGCAGCTCGGAACCCTTGACTTCCGCAGTTTCCCTCTTTCCGTAGCGTTACTGCATACGGGTGCACCCTGGGCGTTACCCTCAAACTGGGGGGCAAGTTTGATGGAGGGGAAGGGGTCCTCCCTTGATCCCTAGTTCTCTCCCACTGTGGGAATTCTTGGGGGAATCTCAATGGCCGGATCCCTCCCGTCCTACTCTCCAATGGACTTCTCCATTTCTTAATCTTCTGCTCAATTTTGGGGGGCGAGGAGGACCCTCTGGTTAAGCAAGTGGTCTCAAATTTTCTCCCTTAAATTCCACTTTTGGAACCCCCAACGTCTCTCTTAATTTATGTGGGGTTGCTAAGGGGTGAGCCCCTTTCCCCCGCGAAGGAGGGGAAGGGTGGGGAGGGCCCCACCCCTCTCGCTGCCCCCCGCCCGCCCCGGGAAGGTGAGGAGGAAGTGGGCCGAGGGGGCGCGGTCGGCCGCTGACTCACAGCCGCAGGGTCGGGGGTGGGGTGGGGGTGGGGGTGGGGACAGGCCGGGAGGGCAAGGGAGGGGGGTCCGGCGCTGGCCCGGGGTGGGGATGGGACGCCAGGTTCCTGTGCGGATAAAGCCCCTGACCCCCTGCCCCAGCATGCCCCGCTATGACTCAGTTTCGCTGGCGGAGGACGGCGGGATCATCCCAGCGATCCGAAGGGCAGAGAGGTTGGGAGACCCTCCTGACCCCGGCCCTGGGAGACCCCTGAGAGGGTGGGAGTAAGCCTCTGGGAGGACAGGGATCTGTTCGACTTCTGCCCACCCCCCAGGACGCGGGA